GGAAGAAAAAGTGCGTCTTATATGGCGAAAAATACGGTACCTTCTCAATGGCCACTCCCAGATTTTGGAATTCCCTCCCCCAAGATGTCATGGTTTTGTTTTGCTTTGTTTTTTGCTGATTTTTATCTTTCATATTATAATCAATCTGTTTTCAAAAGTTTTAATACTGTGAGCTAATTTTAATAGGTTTTACTTAGGTGTTTGTAAATACTTTTAACTATATTTGTTTTATTTTCTGTAAACTTCTTTGAGTCCCATTATGGGAGGTGGAAAAGATGGGATATAAATGAATTGATGGTGGTGGTGGTGGTGGTGGTGATTTTGGGGCATGATATAAAGCAGGGGTAGGCAACCTTTCCCCTTTAAGGGCCGAGGGACTTCAGCTCCCAGAAGCCTCAGCCATGTTGGCCAATAGTCCCATGTTGTCCAATAGCTCCTGGGATTCTGGGAGCTGAAGTCCCTTGGCCCTTAAAGGGAAAAGGTTGCCTACCCCTGATATAAAGAGTCAAAATTAGGAAGTGGTATTGTTCAAATGGTTTGGAGGCTTACCAATAGGTGATGGCAACATGTATCTTTTTTCTGTGTTCTGGTGGCAATCATGGAGCTCTTTACCATCATTGCTCCCAGTCATTGGGGTGGGGGAGGCAGTTGCCACATTTTACCAGACTGCACCATAAAAATACTATATCTAGAGCATTCAGAAGTGGAGGTGGTAAGTTTTCCATCTACTGAAAAATCACCCTAATGGTTCTCTGCCCCGTTTCATCACTGCAAATAAAATGACATTTTTATTTCTCTCTGTTTTGTATTAATTTAGATTTCAGTAGTTTCATGTACTAACAAAAATGTTCGTTATGATTTATTCCCCATTTGTAGCCGTGAAACTCATAAGATTGCTGTATTTTACATTGCTGAAGGACAAGAAGATAAATGTTCAATATTGTCCAATCCAAAAGGAAGTCAAGCATATGAAGATTTTGTTGCTGGATTAGGCTGGGAGGTAAATGTTAGCCAAACATTTAAATTTGAAATAATAAAATCATTTGTGCTGTATTTAGGGTCATGTACTAACTTGCCAATAACAGACTAGCTGTTGACCCAAGCAAGGAGCGAAGAAGGAATCTGCCTTTCCCTCTAATGTATGATTTACAGAACCAGCACCATCTATGAGTCTCCCCAGAACTGCAGTAGTCTAATGGACCCCAAATAGGTTTCCCCACAACAAATAAGCTTATCAGGCCAGGAGAGAATAGGGATTGACATGTAGGCAGTGAAGTGGCTGCATCAATCACTACTACCATCAGATTTACCTACAGAATACTCATAGGCTGCCTCCTGTTGTTGTTGTGTGCCTTCAAATCGTTTCCAACTTCTGACAATCCTATCATGGAGTTTTCTGGGGCTGAGAGTGTGTGACTCACCCAAGGTTACCCTGTGGGTTTCCATGGCCAAGTGAAGAATCAAACCCTGCTCTCCAGAGTCATAGTCACCCACACCACTCTGGCTTCATCTATGAGGTACAACACAGTTTTTTAAAAATAATAATAATAATCAAAATTGGCACTTAAAATAGAAAAGCAGTATTCACATAAGAGCCTCAGTAGTCTCAACTCAGTTATGCGAAGGAAAACAGATGAGTCTTTGGGGCCCACTTGAAGGTCTGTAATGATGAGTCCTGGCAAATATCAGGTAGAACAGAGTTCCACAGGCAGGTGGCTACTTTCCATATGGGCCTACCAATCTATCCGCTGTTAGAAGCAGACTCACAATAGTACCTTAGATGCTGCAAACATGCAGGCAGGTTGATATAGGTCTTTCAAGCCACTTTGACTGGAACTATCTAAGGTAATGGTGGGGAATATGTAGCCTTCCAGGTGGTATTACTGAAAGTACCATTAGCCTAAGTCAGGACTGTCAATGGTGATGAATAATGAGAGTTCTAGTCCAGTATCATTGGAGCATCTCCATTCCTAATTAAGGTCTTTAAAAGCCAAGACCAGCACTTTCAACTGGGCTCAGAAGTTTGCTGACAACTACAGCATCTGGTGAAGTATAACTGTAACATGATCTGACTGCCTAGCACCTAATTGTACTAGTAACACAATCTAGTACTAAAGTAAGTATTAAACAGTGTTAAAATTTAACATGCAGCAAAAAATACATCTTTCTCTGCATTGGAATTGTCATCAGATGTCAGTACTAAGCCTCTTGTATGGAAATGTCCCATTAATTTTAGACAGTTTACTTCCAGGAACAGTTCCTTCTCTGAATGTTTGTTTAGGATTGTGGATTGAGAGTAAATTATGTGCTTTTACTTAATTAAGGTGGATCTTTCAACTCACTGTGGATTTATGGGTGGCCTTCAGCGTAACGGCAGCACAGGACAAACAGCACCATATTATGCCACTTCTACTGTGGAGGTAATTTTCCATGTGTCTACACGCATGCCCTCTGATTCAGATGACTCACTGACTAAAAAGGTAAATATAAAATTAATTGCAATCCCAATAAGGTTTAATTGTGCTAGCTAAATATAGAATTTATCAGTACTTTCAGAACTTGAATTATATGGGTTTAGTTCAAAGCATAAATAAAATGGTACACTCAGCAGAAAGGTATTAAAATAAGAATTGAGGCAAACCTTTCCCCTACAATTCTCAAAGGACTCCCACATCTTAAAAGGAACAGACTAATGCAAGGTTACAAAGATCATACCCAGTCTTGTCTTTAACATTGTGCTATCCTTCCAGAAATATAGAGCCAGTTCAATATCAACCCACTGCTCCTGTCTCCAAGTCTAAGTTTGTGGCTGGAAAGTGGGATGTGAGGATTATACAGAATATGAATAAAGTTTCCATTCACTTGCAGCCTGGACACTCACTTTGGCTCTCTGCTTGCTGGGCTCTCCAAGTGCCTGGTAAGCACAAAGAATTAATTCCTGGCTTCTTCTGAACCTAGAGGAGCTGAAGAAGTTAGTTTTCATCACTGCAGGTCCAGGGTTAGGAAAAATCCAAGACGTCCACCTTCATCCGAGATTACCTAAGCATGACATTCCAAGTGAGAAAAACTGTGGATATGGCTTCTGTGTGATGCACTTTTCTTAAGATCACTTTATTGATATAGGACAGAAAATGCACAACCATTTCCAAAGGCCATGGATTTTGGTTTAAGGACTGCATGCACCCACATGAACATACACTTGTCTGCATACAGACATCCTAGTAATCTTCTTTTCTGATGGGGAGAGAGAGCCTTCCTTTCCGCCCTCGGCCCATGATCCTGATACAGATTGTTTCCTTGCTGCTAGCAAGAATGGAGAAACAGTGTTCTGCATGAAATAATCAGGAAATTAGACAAAGAGGGATGTAGCAGTAGCGCAGAGGTGTGAATGTCACATCTAACATCTCCTTTTTCAGCTCGCTTAGGCTTAGGCTTACACATGCTCTAGGGACACATTGTAACATTTTATTGCAGAGTCCACTTCTAACATTATAATGCATTTTTATAAAAGAATTGACATAAAACCTTTGGTCACTGCTGTTAAGTAAACTGATTTAAGACTGTCTGGAAAGGGCCTCTCCAATGAGTGTGTGCTGATCTTCATATAGCCTGTCAGATGACTGGATCTTCCCCATTCACAGCTGCTACACTGATATGGTGGAACACAACCACCAATGACTACTTTTCCGCAGTGGTAGGATTGTATTCTCCTGTGTGACAAGAAACTATGCTGATGGCACCAGTGCTGCTGGTAGGGTCTCCCATGTCAGACAAGTGTTTGCTGAGGAGCCAGATTAAAAGTGCCAAAGAGTCTTGGGTAGCAGCTGTACTAGGGGGTGACACTGAATGTTTTACTCAGTAAATAAAAATCTAAGTTTTAATACTTTAAAGAAGCAATAACACTCAACAGCTATAATGCAAAGTCTGTCTGACTGAATAATTGTATTAATAAGACTTCAGGAAAAACTTTCCAATATAACCATAATCCAAGTTTATGCTCCAGCAACAGAGGCAGAAGAAGAACAAATTGAAAGATTCTGTGCTGGAGTCCAGGAGGAAATTGACCACACACCAAAACAGGAGTCCTTGTTAATCATAGGCGATTGGGCTGCAAAAGTAAGAAACAGAGCAGAATCAAAGATTGTAGGAAAATTTGGGCTCGGATCAAGAAATGAAGCAGAACAACTGATTGAATTTCACAAAGTCCATTGCAAATACATTCCTCAAGCAACCAAAGAGGTGACTGTATACATGGACATCACCTGATGGACAATACAGAAATCAAATAGAAATCATAATCAGAAGTGGAAGATGGAGAAGCTCCATCTTTCTGCAAAAACAAGACCAGGAGCAGTTTGTGGCACACACCATGAACTACTACTATCAAAAATTAGAGTAACTTTAAAGAAAATTAAACTAACCATTGTGCCAAAATATACATGAAGAACATCCCCATAAAATTTAAAGATAATGTAAAAATATATTTGCACTGTTAAATCTAATTGATTAAGAGCTAGAAGAACCCTGAAACCAGGGAAGCTGTCAGGGAGGAAGGCAAAAAGACACTATCTGCAGCCAAAAAAGAAAAATAAGCCTCAATAGATAAGAGATCAAACTCTTCAAGCAGTTAAGGACAGAAGAAAACCAAAACAAAGGGTGACAGAAACACAGTCAGAACTCTGAATGCACCTATTGAATGACTTGTGCACAGGGATAAAGAGAACCACTATAACAATCAATGCAGACAAAAAGTAGATAACAACAAAAAAGTGGAACAAGAAACCTCTTCCACAAGATCCAAGAAATCCAAGGGAAATGTAAGCTAATTATGGGGATGTTATATGACTGGCAGAAGAATACATTACATGACCTCAGTGTGTTTTCAGTTATGGAAACCCTAAAGTGAACCTATAATGCTGTTTGTTGGCAAGTTTCTTCAGAGGAGGTTTGCCATTGCCCCCCTCTGAAGCTGACTTTCCCAAAGTCACCAGTGGGTTTCATGGCCGAGCTGGGATTTGAACCATAGTCTCCAGAGTTGTAGTCCAGTGCTAAAACCACTATACTACACTGGCTGTAGTTGAAATAAAAATACAATGGAAGCAATAGTCTGAAGAACTATATAAAAGACATGAAAGGATGCTAGATTCATTCAAGGCAGATGGACACTTGAAGATAAACATACCACAAGGCATACAGGAAAGGAAGATCCACAAGGAATCATACAGAAAATATACATTGAATAATGCAATGTAGCAAAGAATTTCAGAAAAAAATCAGCCAGTGCTTTACAGATTATAGCAAAGCCTTTAATTATGTAGGCCATGAGGGTGTGCCACAATATTTGATTGTCCTGATGTGTAATCTGTACTCAGGACAAGAGAGTGCTGTCAGACAGAATATGGAAAAATGGAATTGTTAGTATTTCCAATGGGCAAGTGAGTCACCTATCAATGCAACCTTGATGGCAGTACAGAGCACAGAGTTAAGAGAAACAAATAGACAGACAGAAGAATTTCCAAAGTCTCATCTAGAGTCCTAGTTGATTATTTAGTCTGACCCGAAATCATGGACAATCATGGACAGTCATTTTAAAATACAATTTTCAGGCAATTGGCTACTTCAATAGCAAAATACTGAAGAAATTCAAGGAAGAAAGTACAAAGGCAGGTTTACAGGTGAACATGAAGAAAACAAAAATTGACCACAGATGATTTACATAACTTTAAGGTAGATGATGAAGACATTGAAATAGTTCAAGGTTTTCCATACCTTGGCTCAGGCATTAATCCGTATGGAGACTGAAGTGACAAAATCAGAAAAAGACTAAATTGTATACATGTCTTTTAAATTGATTTGTACTTTAATTGATGGGTTTTAACTGATGTGGTGTGTCTATTAATTGTTGTTGTTCCGTGGCTCAATCTATGGGGAGAGACAGGTAAGAGAGGAGGAGGAGGATGGGGATGGGGATGGGGAGGAGAAGGAGGATTTTTTTATACTTTTTTTTTATTTTTATTTTTTTGCAAACATATACATATATTCTTCTGGCGTCATCCTTTCTTCCCAACCGTATCTATTTGAATTTATTGTTCTTTTGTTCTTTTATGATATATACCCCTATATCTACACTAGTCACAATTCATCTTAGTTCCCTGTCATCCTATTACTCTACCTATAGTTTAATTCCATCTGTTCTTACAAAATTCATTTACCAGAAGCCATTCTTTCTCAATAATTTTCATATCCTTCTGATTCAGACAAGCCATCAAAATATCCATTTCCATCATTTCTGATAATTTTAGCAGCCAATCATCTAATGCAGGAAGTTCATTATTTTTCCATTTTTGTGCAACCAAAAGTCGTGCCGCCATTATCATATAAAGTAAAATTCTCCATTGTTTCCTTTCTACATGATTATTTAACATGTTGAGTAAGTAAATTTCCAGTCTCAGTTCATAGTTTATTTTGAATATCTTTTCAATTGTTATATGAATCTTTTTCCAAAAGATCTTTAGTTTTGGGCATCACCACCACACATGGATCCATGTACCTCTCTTTTCTTGGCATTTCCAACATTTGTTAGAATTCGTCTTGTATATCTTCATAATCTTGCTTGGTCTTAAGTACCACTTATGCTCCATTTTGAAATAATTCTCCCTCAAGTCCTATGCTCTTGTAATTTTTTGTTTTTGTTTTATTTCTGACGTAACTCCAGCTCTCTAATCCAATGACCCGGTCACAATCTGATGCCCATTTTATCATCTCACCTGAAATCAAATCATCTTCCTGTTCTTTTTTCCTTAAATATTTATATAAATTTGATGTTCTTTTTCTTGGATCAAAAACAGAATTTTATCTATTTCCAAAGTTTCATATTCAAATTCTTCCATTTTTTGATCCATCAGGAATCTTTCTTTTAGTTGCAAATATAAGAAACAATGCATTTCAGGATCAAGCTGATGCAATTCATTTATTTCTCTCATTTCATACTTATTCAGATGGATTTTATTCAATATATCTTTATATGTAAGCCATCTATCAACCTTTTTCCATCTTCCAACGAATGCTTCTTGTGGTGACACCCAAAGACGTTTTCTTCTGTAAGTTTTCTTCTTAAAATTCTCCCAGACTCTTATAGGACTTTTTTTTAAAAAGCGATGCCGAAATTCACTGTGGACAGATGCTTTCCCATACCAAATATATGTATCCCAACCAAAATGATTGTTAAATCCTTCCAGTTCAGTAGTCTAGTGTTATATAGTACAATCCAATTGGCAATCCAATTTAGTATACTTGCTTGATAATATAATTTTAAATCAGGGACACCTCCTCCTCCTCCATTTTTTTATTTATGGTTTTTTTTTTTTGGTCTTGTCATAGTTTTCCAATTTATCCTTGGTTTCTTGTTATTCCAAATAAATTTCCTTAGATTTGTTTGCCATTCTTGAATCAGTTTGTCGCTACAATACAGGAATGCTTTGAAATAGAAAGTTTATTTTTTGCAAGATTATAGTTTTTATAGCTTCTCTCCTTCCTGATATAGTTAGTTGTAATTTTTGCCACTTCTCCAAGTCCTTTTTAATGTCTTTCCATAACACTTCATTGTCAAAAAGATCCATGTTCTTCTTAGTTATCCAAATTCCAAGGTATTTAACTTTGTCTTGTATTTTACAATTTGAACCAATTTCTATACTTTGGTCTTCTTCTTTAGTTAAATTTTTAGTTATCATTTGTGTCTTTTTCCTATTGATCTTAAAACCAGAGAGATCTTACCAAATTCCTCTATTAAATTGAAAAGTTTTCCCAATTGATAATTAGGCTCATCCAAAATAATAACCAAATCATTAGCAAATGCCTGAAGCTTATATTCTATTCCTTTATTTTATGTCCTCTTTGTCTCTTATTCTGTTCACTAATATTTCTAGGACTAAAATGAACAATAAGGGAGATGGCAGGCATCCTTGTCTAGTTCCTTTTTTGGTGTCAAATGTACTAGTTCTATTTCCATTTACAATTAATTGAGCTGTTTGTTTTTCATATATTCTTGCTATCCAGGACACAAAATTTGTCCCCATTTCCATCCTTGTCAGTATTTATATCATGCAACTCCAGCTCACTTTGTCAAAGGCCTTTTCAGCATCAACAAAAATTAGTCCCAACTTTTTATCATTATGTCTTTCATAATATTCCAATACGTCCAGAATTAATCTTATATTTTCCTTCATCTGTCTAGACGGGAGAAATCCTGATGGGTCTTCATTTATATATTCAGTAATTACTCTCTTTAGTCTTTCTGCCAAGATGATTGGCATTATCTTATAATCCATGTTCAATAGATATATTGGTCTATAATTTGTGACATCTTTCACATCTCTTCCTTCTTTTGGTAGCAATGTAATGTTCACATTTTTCCATGTTTCTGATATTCAATTGTTTTTCATGTCATTTAATGTCCTTTGTAGTGGTGTTTTTACCTCCTCATAAAATTTCTTATTGTACCATCTGGTCCTGGAGCTTTGTTTATTTTTAATCTCTTTACCACCTCTTCTGTTTCTTTCATCAATAGTAAAATCAGCATTCAATATTATCTGATGTTGCTCTTTTATATGCTGAATCTTTTGTTTATCCAAATAATCTCTTATTGCTTGCAGATCTATATCTTCTTTGTGATATACATTTGTGTAAAACTTCAAAAAAGCCTGTTCGATCTCTTCCTGTTTGATAAACAAATTACCATCTTCTTTGATACTTGTTATTCATCTTTTTTTCTTTGCGTAACCTATTTGTCAACCACTTCTCTGATTTATTTGCATTTTCAAAATGTTGTTTTATATATTTCATTTTCCTTTCAATTTCTGTTGTCAACATCTTATTTAATTGCCCATTAAGCCACTTCAAATGTTTTTTTTTTATCATTTGTGGGGTCTTGACCTAAATCCACTTCTGCTTTCATAATTTCTTTTTCCAACTTCTCCAAATCCATTCCTCTTTGTATCAAGACACCTCTCATATAAGCCTTACGTGCATCCCAAACTGATTTCATCTTGATGTCTTTTGTTATATTATCTATAAAAAAGTCTCTCAGGGCCGATGCAGACCGCCAAAAGGGCCAGCCTGGGGGTGGAGTTGGGGCAGGACGACCGCACTCTGGATGCCCTGACTCCATCTCAATGCCACCATCATGCCACACGCCCAACCACACCCCGCTCGGTGTTAGGGTGCAAAAGAGCCACAGTGGTGGCGCTGTGGGCAGCTTTTTGCCACCCCAAAAAGGAGCTGTGTTTGCCAGCTCTTTTTGGAGTGACAAAAAGCTGGATTGGGGCCACAGCATGTGGTTGCTGCAGCCCCAATCCAGCACCCCAGGATGGCATGTCTGCATGGGCCCTCAGTTTACTTTTAGTTTGTTCAGTAAATTTCTCATCATTTAGAAGCGATTCATTTAATCTCCAATTGAATTGTTTTTGCCCTAGTTCCATTGTGAGAAGAATAAAGTTGTGATCAGTAATCAATATAGGTATAATCTCCATTTTCTGTGTTTTTGATATAAGTGTACTAGAAAGGAGATACATGTCTATTCTTGAGGTAGAATTATGACAGTCTGGAAAAAAAAGTATATCCTTTCTCCTCCAGGTATAATCTTCACCCCACATCAATCAGGTTCATTTCCTCTTTTAATTCAAAAAAAAAAAAAAGACTTTAGGAGTTTCCCCTGATTCTTCTTAATTTTTTTTTGTTGCTGACATTCTATCTCTATAGGGGTCAATGACCCCATTCCAATCTTCTAGAATAATGATTTTTCCCATAGTCAAACTTTTGTAATTCCTAGTTGATTCTCATTAAAAAAAAAAAACTACCTTCCTATGGTGCTTATATGCCTACAATCAAGTATTTCACATCTTTAATTTTAACTTTGATGCCTATATAGTGGCCTTCTTTGTCCTTACAAACTTCAGTTGCTGCATATTTGTTCTGTACATAAAGTACTACTCCTCTATTCCATTTGGAGTTCAATGCTTCAAAAAATTGACTTAGTTTTGGATTGGTTAAATATTTTGAGTCATTAAGACTAGGA